GAGCTTTCTCATCCTGACCTTCTTGGGCTGGAGTTTGAATCGTACGCGGAGAAACGAAGCAATTCGCGAGACTGAAGCTTCTTCCCTATGTCGCATATTGATACTGGTGTAGCCAAGTCGAACTACGACGTTTACGTCATAGACAGGCTCAATACTCTATCTTGCATACTCAATGATATTGAACTTAGGATAGAAAGCGACATCGTACATGTTGCTTCCGAAGTCTGCTGCAAAGTGTCGTATAGACCGTCTGACTGAGACATGTAGACCTCTACAAATGAACTACTAGGCAGTTGAGGCATCGCTACCTACAATAGTGCTGTGTCCATACATCAGCGCTTCACGCCACTTGCACCTCAGCAGCCCCAGTACGGCGCTGTTAGGTGTGAGTATGAGACAATACCGTGATAGCTTTAGATGCAGTCATTTCCAAGAAAGAGCGAGCGCGGTGCGGAAGTAGACCCCGTTGCTTAGCGGCGATCTCGACGTCGTGGGCGCGACACGCCCCCAGGGCTCTTCGCGTAGCGCGTCGCAATCACCCACACGACGTGACTGCCTTTCTGTCGTGTACGTCGCGATACTTCCATCAGCCACCGCATCTCCTTTGCGACACACGAAAAGTGACTCAGGTGTGCCATAGCAACAAAAGCGCACCTACATGCGCACAAGGATGACGCCTCCTAACTGTGCCGCAATCCATCGCCCCCATCGCGCCCAGCGCCGCTCGTTGCAAGCACAACCCAACAGCCTCATTCTCCTCCTCTTCCTCCCCATTGTTGCGTCGACACTCTCGGACAACTACACATGATGTTGCAAGCTTTCTATAGTCACCCTCTGGCTTACTTGTGAATCTAGCACCCTGCATGCGTCACCGAAGCCGTTCGCAATCAGCGCTCACATTTCCTCGCTGTACGACTGTTCATACGATCAATCCACTGCGTTTCTCCATCCTCGCTACGATCTCCGACCACACATTACTTGTTGATACAAAAGGTGGATATACTGCTGCGGCTCATGCTACGTGCCAGTTTCCGTCTGCTTGCCGCCGTAGTCACCAACCGTCATCATATACCGCTACCACCGTCCATTCTTCCACATACGACCATAGGACACTGAGAATTAGGCTTCCCGTCCGCTCAGCCATATACAAGCAGTGTACCGGCGGATTAGTAGTTAGGTGGGTGACCACTAGCGAATCCCCGCTGTTGTATGTTTTCGCCATTTTTTGCACCGTGGAACTTACCGCGCTTTTTTGCCAAACCGAGCGAGGAATGGACAAAGCGCAGGCGTAGCCCAGAACTCATGATTACAAGGCAGCTCGTTCTCCTACAGTGCACTTACAGGCGAAGCATACCCTGAAGTGTGGAACGTTTCTCAACCTCAACCCAACGCCGCCATGTCATATTACGACAGCTACGAATTACCCAGTGAAGATGAGCACAATGTCAGCCCTGCATGGTTTGAGCGACAGAAGCAGCGTCCTGTTGAGAGCCATGACCCGAGCCTTCGCGACTGGCTTGCTACGGAGGTCGACGCATTGAAAGCATACCACGATGGCCACATTACTGCAGATGAGGCGGGATTGTCCATGACACACCCACTGTCCACCTCGCCTGTACCAGCATTAGGAGGCTATGCTGATCATCTCCTGGCTGTTGATAACCTATGGGGAGTTATCATAGACGCTCTCATGGAATGGCCATCCACACGTGTCCCGGAGATCTTTACGCTACTGGATGCGATCGCGAAGGCGCCGGGTAAGATCCACAAAGGCGAGGCTCTTAACCATGTGGGAGAACAGCTCACATGGGCAAAATTCCCGTACTTTGGCATGGCCTGGAACGAGAGCACTGGCGCAGACATCCAGCCAGGCCAAATTTGCCGGCAGTATTCCGACGCAACCTTGCTTGCATTGGCACGGAAATCTTATCTAAAGGGAAAAGATATCGAAGCCCAGTTGGTTGCGAAGCACGTGTTGAAGATGAATGAGGCTATGATTAAACTCATCATCCGAGCGCTCGAGAAAGAAATCGACCAGAGCGACGAGCAGCTTGCCACAGATGAAGCTACTGCCTACGATCAAATCAAGCTGGACTTTCACATTCCCGCCGTCTCATTTATGCTCAAGTACAATGGGCGCGAAATCTACGACAAAGTTGTGACGAAGGGATTAGGGGATTGGTCAAGGGGTCAAATGCCAGACGAAGCAAGGGAATTCCAGAATGGAGCTGAGCGATGGTCGTTTTGGAGGAGACGTTTGGAGGAGTTGTCTCAAGGAGATTTCGATGACGAGGTAAAGGCCGCTGCACAGGCAAGCTTGGAGTACATGTCATCGGTCGTTTAGCATTACGAGACTTTATGAAGGAAGAGACTGCAGCACAGGTTATGACACGTACCAAGCGAGGGACGTTAGTTCGTTCGCGGTGGAACATTGTAGCTTTGTTGGTCTCTGGTGAACCACAGCGAATTCTGAAATACATGTGGGCGCATTCGAAGACGTGCACGCTATGAGAATGCAGCCTCTTCGCCGTGTAATCGCTGGCAATTGAGCGCAGGGTCATTGGCCCACCCGCGGTTCCTCGCGAAGCGCAAGCCTCCCGCTACCAAGAACAGCACCCTCGGGAATTTTTGAAGAATGTATGGCACAGTCAAAGTCCCCGACTTCCGGCCATCGATTATCCCATCTCCCTTCATCACCTCCTTGCGGGTGACTTCCTTAAGCATGGTACGACTCAGCAGCGAGATGTCCACCCCGATAGCTACACCTCCCGCATCCGAGACAGGCGCACGCTCGCCAAACCGACCGGTCACCACCCCCGGCGGTGATGACAATACTATCACCAGCGTTCTGGGAACCATAGCTTTTATGTGCATCTTTTTTGTGCTCATTTTGAGCATTTACGTCACCCTATCCGGCACACCCGACGAGTCGCAAATATACTCGATCTGCTTATTGGAACTACCAGTTGAGCGCATACTCGCTCTTAATAGCCAGAGGAAGCACTAAGCATATACAGTTGTTCATGATAGTCCTTGTAGCTACCTCCGCCGCTTTCTCAAAACTCGCCTCTGCCACCCATCCAACGACCAATCGAGTATTCCTAGCTCTCCCTGTACCCCTCTTGGTCCACCTTGCCTCCTATGGCATCTGGGCTATTGTTCCCGATCCAGTCACACGCCTGCATGCGATATTCCTTGGGTTGCCCGTAAGCCTCGCCATATCAGACTGTCGTACGGTGTCCTAATGTCCGCAGATCCTTCTATTCCTGATTTCAATGCTAATTTTCAATGCTGTTTGCCCTTCAACTACCCCTAGAATTGGGGCTAGTTCGCTGGATTTGATGGTATAAGGCACAATGAGAGAGGCATTTGCGTTGAACTTCACGTTTTGCGGACTTCAGGAAGCGGGTGTTGCGGCCCATGAGTGTTTGTGCGTCCCACAATCTCGACAGGTTGTACAAAGAGCCATCTTTGCACTCACACTGGAAAGACGACGCACTGACAAGTGAGTCGATATGTACGTAGAGGTATTGGACGGCCGGTACACGTGGAGATTTCTTGCTACCAAGCTCCTTGACTTGACAATACTTCTCTTTTCAAGAGGACCTAATTGGATAGGTACATATAGATTTTAGAAGTTGTAAGTCGCTCGTTGCGATAGGTTATTAGGAGTACCATAGTACAGAAGTAACATTACCTACTAAAGTACAGCTTCGCGCACACAGCGATGTGAGTCAGAGGCAGAATATATTTTCGCTACCAAATAGCACTGCCTTTAAAAATCTCTTCTGGTACCAATTTAAAGACTCTCCGTCGCGTCCGATCCTTATACATCTTTGAACACTACAATTAACTACACTGACCCTACATCGAATACCAACGATATGGCCCAATCAAACCCTACCGGAAGCTGCGACGCTTCTCAAGACGGCAGTACTAGCAGGGGCTTATCACCCTTCCTCTCGCTACCTGCGGAGCTTAGGGTAGAGATATATCGATTCGCCCTCGTATCGTCGGGGTCTATCGTGTTATCTCGCTACCCTACCATCAGTCTTCGGTCTTGCGATGACAAACCGGCTGGTGTTGCCCTGTTACGCACTTGTACGCGAATTCACGCCGAGGCAACGAATGTCTTATATGGCGAAAACCAGTTCCGATGCATGTCCGAGATCATGACTTGCAGCATCCCAGATTACCTTCCCCGATCTAGTTTTCGTCATCTCAAAGAGCTCACGATCCCAGCACCGTTCCGGGGATACGTCGACCACCTTCAAAACCGGCTGCATCGGTTGTCGAGCGCATCTGACTACGATCTGCAACCAAACGCCATCAATCCAAGCCTCTGTCGGATGGATTTTTCACCAAATCAGGCGATCCGTCAGCTTCTCAATGCAATCGCCAACGCTCCGCATCTACAGCAGCTCAACCTTCTACTCGACGAAAGCCGCGTGTACGAAAGAACCCATCGAATCTCAATGGATGACTGGACTTATGAGAATTACAGCGGCTACAGCTTCATCAACAACGAGGATGTTTGGGAAGATCTCACAGGTCTATTACGGGTCAAGAAGGCGTTACAGATCACACTCATTCAGCTTAAGTATTCGATCCCGGATAGAAAGCAACTCGCTTCCAGAAAAAAAAAGCGATTCTTGCGTGCTATGAGGTCTCGATTAGGGGTGTGGGATGTGCGTGAGATGTATTGGCATGAGATAGGTAATCTATGGGACGATCATAGAACTATACCTGCGGCGAGGGAGGAGCACAATCCCGATGAATGGCTACGGGCGATTCGAACTCTCTTCGAAGACTAGCGGTGTCACTCATAGTATCCACGGCTCCTGTGGAAAGTACTAGGCTCTTGCCACGTTTCGCTGTCATACCGGAGACGAACGAGTCAAACAAGACTGGGCCCGTGAACAGCAGTCTTATATGCTATGTTCTTAATTAAGCATCTACATTACAAGTCATTATCTATCCCAAGTATACCCAAGGTCGCGCTACACGAACAAAGGTCCGTACCCAGTTCCATCACCTCTCTCTATATCTGCCATCATCGGCTTCTCAAAAGCCACTCCGTTGTCTGCCTCACCCTCGGTAACTGGCAGCGGCATCTCCCTCCAGTGATCTTGAATCTTCTTCGCACTCTCCAAGAAGCGGTCTTGCAGCGCTGTGTATCCAGCTACGGCTAGCTGCCAGTCTCGCTTCTTGAACTCTCCGTTAATCATGACATGCCTGATGTCGCCTACGTTCGCGTGCAACATAATGGCAGCGATCGGATCGGTCCAGCCAAGTACACTTGGAGCGCGCCCATTCCATACCAGTAGGTCTGCTTTGGCTCCAGGTGCCAGGATACCAATGTCGGATCGTCGAAGTGCGAGCGCTCCGCTGCGAGTCGCGAGAAGGAAAGCCTGGTTGACAGACATGGGATTCTCGGCGGGAAGATGGCGTCGATCAACAACTTCGCGGTAGAAGATCTTCCTGACACTCTGGAGCCACAATCGCGCTTGTGTCAGTATATCCGACGAGAACGTGAAGTGTGTGTCGATGCCTAGAGGCAAATTCAGTCCGAACACCGCTCTCGAACGTCGCGTTCAGCGCCGCCATAGCGTGCGCTGCGGACCAGGTGCAATGAGGGTAGTCCAGAATGGTAGTGACACCGCCATTCAGGGCCTCGTACAACCCGACGAGCTGGCCAATGTACACATCCTCGGGCGTGAAAAATGTATTGGCGGGCGAGTCGGTTCCATAGCGTTCAAAGTATCGCATCAAGGTCGTGTTCGATCCCAGGGTCTTGAAGGCCGTTTGCCAACTATGACGATGAGTATCTATGAAGCCTGGGGAGATGATGTCGTTGGTGGTATCGACGACCTCCAGGTCAGCCGGTAGAGTTCCGTTGTATGATCCAGAGAATACAGCGGTTATGGTGTCGTTCTCGACCAACACAGAACCGTTCCTGATAATATCGAGATGATTGGCCGAAGTGTCCCAGCCGATTACTGTCCCACCGGCAAACAGTGTCGCTGCCTTACCAAGCGAGACGCACGATGCGAACGCAAGGAGAGAAAGGCGGCCTGCACCACCAAAGATCATTCTGAAGGAGTTTGGTTAGATGTAACTTGGCTCTGCGGTTCCACCGCGACCAACAACTTATACTCCATCGTCTACGCGATCTGATCTCCCGTCTGCTCGATCGTATCGTAGATGCCGACTCTTGGCCGACGCGTGTGAAAATTGTTCATCGAATTCATCGCTCTTCCACATTCTATGACGTTCAGCCAAGAGCAGACCTTGGAAAAGCTTAGGAGAATCTTCACGATGGCCGCTTCGGCAGAGACGGAACACAACCGCTTAGGCCACCCGGAAGCAATGCCCGGTGGAGCTGGACCACTGCAGTGTTTTCCGCACACGCCAGAAAGCGGTCAGCCTTCTCTAGTGCAAAGGTCACATGCATCTAGCACTGGCCCTTCTTCTGAGTGCTTAAATACCGCTGTTCCCTCCTCTTTTATTCTGCATACTTACCTTCTTGCGATGACCCAGCTCAAAGATTGGGTTCATCTAACAGTCTCGTCTGCATTGCACAGCGCGGTATGGGACTGTTACGAGCTTCCTTCGGGGATCTCGGCGGGGCAATTTTTGCTGGTCTGCTTTCGAGCTTTTCATTGATCCCACTACCCTGGTGGTGGATTGAGGAAGAGTTTTCGTGGAATTGTGTGTGTGCGCACGAAGATGCAGGGGTGACGGCTGAAGCTCCTCTCCGCGACAAAGGCTTGCGAAGGTTTCGCTGCGTCGAGCTGTAACGGAGTAAGGCAGTAAATGTACGTAGTGACAGAAGACGCGAACGCACATAACTAATTTAGTGACACGGTCGCGCTCCGCGGGCTTTGTGGCTTTGTACCTGCCAACTGGGTGTTGCTTAGCTTGGCGCTGCCAGATGGGGCGCCCATCGCTATCTCGAGATCATTGTGCGACCACCAAACCTTTGACGACTGTACGCGCACCTCTACGTCTGGCGTATGGGCTGACGGCCTATGAGCAAGCGTGTACCATGATCTAGGATAAGCTTTGCAGTTGGGGTCGTGGTTCTATCTCGAATATTGCGACATGCGACCAACTGGAATGCGCCGAGCCTGCAGCGCCTGTACCACCCGAGGCCACCGACCTACCCGAATACCAGTCGCCTGATCTCCTTTGTTCTCGCGATATCATGTTGCCGCATTGCCGCATTGCCGCCTTTATCCAAGCTGCATCCTTCATAGGCGCGCGTACTCTTCGAGGAGTCAGATGACGTATGAAGGAGATCTCATACAGGCGTTCCGGTATCTCGGCACCTCCTTGTAAACGCACTACTAATGCTCATGTTCTCTAAGTGCTTGAATTCACCAGAAGATCATTCCAATCACAACAAATCGCACATCCAACCATGAAAGACACCTTACCATCAAACCGCATAACGCTCAAAGTCCACAACAACATACCGTGGCGATACCTTTACATACCCGGTCTATATGCAATTCTTCTTGGAGGGCTCACGTTCTCTCACTCGTTTGATTACTGGACGATGGACCCTTATCCAGGTAAGGCCATCGGTTGCTCGAACATTCTCGCCGGCGTTCTGGGTACGTTCATAGTCTATATTGGTATCGGAGCTTGCATGGGCTGGTACTTCTTCAAGGATACGTATTTTCGACGTGCGGTCGGAGTAGATCCGGCAATAATTGACGTTTCCGGGACGATCAACGAGGAAAGATTCTGGAGAAGCATTATACAACGCTACCCATGGCGCTATGCACAGAAGCTTGGTCTATCGCTAGTCATTCTCGCTCTCTTCATAATAGCTTACGGAGCGAATATGCATCGCAAGAACCCTGGATCAACAGACTGGACAACGGTCCTTCCGATTCGATTTGGTATAATGCTAGCCATTATCGTCAAACTGGCGGGCCTCGTCCTCTGCATGGGATGGCATGTATTCAAAGATATAGAGACAGGCGATACAGAAGATCAAGAAGAATTAGGACCTCATAGGACTTACGATGTCTCGACGTTGGGTTCCCCGAATGTCACAACCTTCGCCAACCCCTTCACTCATCCATACTTGAGCGCTGTTCCTCCTACAATATGTACTGGTTGTACATTGTATAGTGCTTTCGCTGCCTCGGGCATACTTACTCCTGGCGGGCCGATGGCTGTACGCCCTTTCGTATCATTGGCAATCGCTACTTGCCTGAACATTGTTCTAATTGTCATCGAATTCATGGGCAATTACAAAAACCGGGTGTCCGCCATGCAGGAAAGAATGGCTGGGATCGATATGCGCTTAGGAACGGATTGCGACAGGTCTGGAAAGATGGAAGAAAGGACTCACCACTCGCGCACGACCTGACTTGTATCGCTATGGAGGCAAAGGGGGCCATGCTGGACTCCGCGAATGACCATGAATCGTCTACGCACTACTCAAAGGGTCATGAAGAAGGGGACTGCTTCTACACTGTTCATGGCGAAGACATTGGATGTGGGCATATCATGGGAAGTACACAGAGCAGGAAGTGCAACTCGTGATCAAACCACAGTTTCACTTTGTGAAAACAGGATAGCCTGCATGCACAGATATTGAGGTCAGATCGGACTGGAACAGACGTAGTAGTAGTAACTCGTGATTACCTGGGTCGAGACAGATTGAGCAACCATTTGGTAACGGCCAGCTAAGCGCTGCCGCTGCTAGACAAATGCGGTGAGCACTCAAGTCTTCGGCGCGACCTACCTGGAGATGGTAGTATAGTACGACTCCAGATCCTAGGTACGCTTGGATGCTTGCAGAAGCCTCGGCCGAGCTCCAGCTCAGCACGCTAGCTGTCATCGCGCGCTGTAGCCCGCACCAACCGAGAGCGTACATCGCGTTCGTTTTGGCCTACCTACGCACGAAACTTAAAGGATGATCTTCATGGCTGGAGCTTTTGGCTGGAGTCTCGTTGCCAATGTTTTAGGCTTTGTCACGATGTGCGACGTGAGGGGCAGTACCCGATGTCGACACCGAATGGCAATCACCCCGCACGCCCGCACGTCCGGTGCCGCAGATCATGTATTGGTATATAGATGTACCAAAAGTACATACCGACAGCACCTACTGTGTTACCGAATACGCGAAGCACTTCTTCTGTAAACCCGTACCGCTATAGTATCTCACCATGCCGCTGCCCACTGAAGTCGTCCAAAACCTGAAGCAGACCGTTGATGCAGCCTGTGCGGATCCAAAGACATCTATCCCAGGAACTAGCGTCGTTGTTGTAGGGAAAGATGGCGAAGAACTCTTTGCGCACGCCGCTGGTCAACGTGGTGTTGCAAGCAACGAAACCATGACTCTCGACAACGTGTTTTGGATCGCATCGTGCACTAAGATGATCGCCGGGCTTGCCTGCATGCAGCTTGTTGAGCAAGGACAGCTACACTTGGATGATGGAGACGAGATAGAGAGATTGGTTCCGGAGTTGAAAGAGACGAAAGTGTTGCAAAAGGATGGTAGCCTGGTGGACAAGAAGAGGAAGATAACACTGAGAATGCTCTTGACGCATACCGGTACGAGGCCGTCCTTGCAAAGTTGAATACTTTCACTAATCATGACCCACAGCTGGCTTCGGCTACACGTTCTTCAACGAATCTCTGTGTGCCGTATTGGACGGGTTCGATGAGTTCTCTGGGGACGTTAAGGACATACTTCAGCCGCTGACTTTCCAACCGGGTGAGGGCTGGCAGTACGGCGTAAACATCGACTTCGCTGGCCTGGCTCTCGAACGCATGACTGGCATGTCGCTAAACGACTACTGCCTGAAGAACATCTACGAACCGCTAGGGTTGAAGAACATAACCATGTTCCCCAACGAGGATATGAAGAAGCGGCTGGCGTCCATGCATCAACGAAACCAAGATGGCAGCTTGGTCGAGCGAGACCATCTACTCCTCAAGCCCTTGAAAGCTTCGAGCAACGAGATTGGCGGCATCCTGAACAGCGGAGGCGCAGGTGCTTTCGCAACACCATCAGACTATGCGCGTAAGTTGCCCATAAAGCAATATGTATACGACACCACTGACAGAGTTTAAGAAATCATCGCAACGCTCCTCAACGACGGAAAGTCGGCCAAGACCGGCGTCCAACTTCTCAAGAAAGAGACGGTAGACCTCATGTTCACGAATCAGATATCACAGTTCCCCGACTTTGGTCGTCAGGGAATCCCGGCGGCCAAGCCTGAGCTCACAAACGCTATTCCAGACATATACCCAGTGGAGGGTAAGCCTCCTCAAGGCTGGGGTCTGACGTTCATGCTGTCCAACGGAGGCCCGACTGGTCGGTCCAAGAGTACTGGGTTCTGGGCTGGGCTTCCGAACTGCTGGTGGTGGTGTGACAGAGAGAAGGGAGTCGGCGGGATCGTTTGCAGTCAGATCCTGCCGTTTGGCGATCCCAAAGTGCTTGGATTGTGGTTCGACGTTGAGACGCAGATCTACAAAGCCTTGGGGGCTTGATCGTATGTCATGTTGGGTGACTCTGCTTATGCAGTCGGTCCGTTTTGTTTTGTCGGATTCGGCCGGATGGACGTGATCGTCATTGTCTTCATATCGAAACTCGCGTCAAATTGCACCCTGAGGACCGGCCGATCTCCTTGCTCTCTTGGTTCAATCTTTGAGAAACGTCAAAACCGTAATGTTGGGTCGAGAAACCTTGAGTTGTGCTATGAGTGTAGTGCACATCACACCCCCACATCTTTTTAGCGTCATGTGTGCCATACAGGGTTGCATATGGGCGAGAGATAAGCCGTGAACGGATATGGCGCATGAACATGTAAAGAACTTGTCGTTTGAACTGCGATTCGAGTGGTCTTTCGTGCTGGCTGAGACGTTGAAACCCGTCCGTGGCTGCCTGTGTGGGCCGATCCGATGCTCGTTCTCCGTAAGTAGCCTGCCTCGAAAGTTTCGGAACAGTCCGATCGCCATTCGAGGGACCAATTATAACAAGGATGGCTGCAGGCTCAGAGAATAGTGCCTAGGTGAGACCGAGCGTCCGGTACAAGCTGTCCCGTGAGCTGTCTGGATGCCGTTACAATGGAAGAGGCAGTGCTTCCTTTGGGGAGAAACAGGCATCTCAAGACAAGGAACATATGATAGAATAGCTTCGATCGACAGAAACGGCCGTGCAGCATCCATAATCGTCAGTGATGAGCCGGACTGAAGCTTGCGTTGAGCATCGTTGTGCCCTGCCACGCGTTAGCTTTCCCCGCATTTCTGTGTTGGGATGTGGGTCCTAGCCGGCGACGCGGGGTGTGCATATCAGCAACGCACTTGCCTCTTTGCATAAGCAGACCTCTCGTGCTTTTCCCTCTTTTCGACTGACAATCCGAGCAGCAGCCATGAACTTCGTGGACGTGCAACCAAAGTCGTTCCTCGATTATGCCTGGACGTCGCCATCTTCGGGGGCGATGGCAGCCACCAAACCGTCCAAAACGAGTCGGAAACAGAACAGATGCTGCGACCAATGTCGAAAAGGGAAAAGAGCGTGCGACGCCGCAATTCTAGAAGACACTCTTTTAGAAACGAGCAAATCTGGAGCAACCCCTACGGTGTTCCATTATAGTGGTAAGTCATGCCTTCGTCGATGGTACCTAACGCGCAAGCTAACCTGTCAGACGTTTATGGGCCGCTAGCATCGTGCGGTAATTGTGAGAAGACAAAAAAGAGCTGCACATTCGAATGGCTGCGCTCACAACGCGTATCGCAAGCTGCGCAACCAGTGTCGACAACTTCACCGCCAGCGAAAAGGCGCCGCACAAGAAGCAATTCGACCAGCCGAGCACAGAAGCCAAACCTATCGTGCCAATCCAGCGCAACCGTGAAACTGAAAGAAGACCGGCATCCGCACGGCGATGACCTTCTGTCCCATACCACGCCCGTGGAACTGGGCGTGACGTTTGCAGATTTTCCGTGTGGCTCATCCATGTTCACCACCGATCCTACAATCGCATTCTTTGAAGAACCATCGCAAGTATTCGAGAAAGAAGGGACCGGAGATGAACCAGAACTCGCTGGAGGGCTTGCCGAAGAAAGCTGGACTATACTCGGTTGCGACTCTGGCAGAGGCTCGTCTCTGAAGACAACATCGGAGATCAGCGATGATAAGCTCGAACGCGACAGCCCCTCTGAGAGTCAGGACACCAGCAGCATAAGTCCAAGTAATCCGCCTTCTACCATATCGGATGGAACGATCGCTCGTACTAGTCTCAAACGGCGACGCTCTAGCTCCTCAGCATCAATCTCAAACGGTGCGCAACCTTACCCAGTGATATCATATGCCAGCGATCTTCTTTCATCAAGCAACAATGCGTATCTGACTGAAAGCCTGCTGAGGATCTATCATGATAGTTTCGAAAACGCACTTGCATGCTGGGTCACAGAAAGAACCTGTCCCTACAGTGCAAAATCGGATAACCTGCTAGCCACAAACGCTAAGCCTGATTGGAATCGAATCTATCACAGAGTGGTGCGCCTCGATAGGCTAGCTTCAGCCATCAGAGGGCGCAAGCTTACTCAAACGGAAGACCGCGCAGCATCTAGAGCTCTAGACTTGGCGGTCTTTTCCTTCGCTTCACAATGGGCACAGTCCAGTCCCAGAAGCAGAACGAAGTACCCGTTCCACAGCACCTCGACCGATGGTGGCAGTAGCGTCTTTGATAGTATCGAGGACGAATGCGCACCGGCTGGCGTGAACTTTGATCGTACCCTGCAGATATCAGCGTGGCATGAGGCCCGCAATGCACTGCAAAAAGCCGGTGAAGTGGAGTCCTTCCGGGTGGTACTTGCACAGATCATTTTCGCCCTGACACAACGGCCTGTGGAGGCAGACGGGGCTCAGGATGAGCAGAACGCTCTTTCGAAGACCGAACTACTGGCGACCGACGCCTGCACGGAAGTCCCGATGGAACAGACCCCTATGCTTTCGACCGATCAGGACGTCGATGAGTGTGCAGATCTGATGTCGAAGTTGGATCTCGCTATTGAGTCCGACGGACCTCCTGTACATCTTGAATCAGGCCTTCGACTCATTCACTCCTTGAGGTCGCGCATGACCATGTCGAGAGAAGCGCGATACAGCAACCCCGGACCAGGGCGCTCTGCACGGCAACGACGCTCGCCCGTTGTGCGTCTTGAAGACGCCGATCGTGCGACAGTGGACCTTCTGTTCTGGGTCGGTGTCATGTTCGACACGCTATCAGCAGCCATGCACAAGCGACCACTGGTGGTATCGGATGAAGATAGCGATGTAGTCATGAGCGAAAGCATGCAGATTGAGCACTCGGCCCAACAAGCGGCAACACCTTCCTCAACAGACGATGGACTGTGGGACGACTACTTGTTCTCTCGGCAACAGCAGAATCCAGAACATGCGCCCACAAGATGGCCATGCTCATTCGATGAAGCCGCAGCTGCGTTGTGTGACGCAGCCCCGGTCAAGGTGTTGCTGTTCAGAAGAGTCTGTCGGATCCAAACGCTTCTCACAAGAAATGCACGAGGCGCGAAGGTCGAAGAGGCTGTCAGTGCCGCAATGGACGTGTGTAACCACTGGGATGCGCTGTATGCGCCCTTCGTCCGAGACTGCATACAGAACCACGACCGCCTTCCACCACGCGTCCAATCATGGTACGTATGCGTCACCGGACACTGGCACCTTGCGACTCTCCTTCTTGCGGACTTGATGGAAGTGGTAGACGAATCAGAGCTTGGACTTGAGGAAGCCACACATCAACGGAATATTAGTGCCTTCATCGCGAAATTCCGCGAGAACCAATGCCGGGTCCTATCAGACCTAGCGAGCTGTGCATGCCCGCGAGAAGACGCATCATTCGCACAGTCCGAGTTCCATTTCGCAGTCAACGAAGGCGCACTGCTGACGGAGCCATGGACTGTAGTGTTGATTCGCGCGTTCGCCAAGGCAGGCGTACTGTTGCTTGAGTCAGATACTCTGCTGCCGTCAGACCTGGATCGAGAGGATGCTTTTCAACGCGCGGATGCTTGTATTAAGGCGTTATGGTTTTTGGGTAGAAAATCGGATATGGCCCTCTCGGCGGCGAATATCTTGGGAGAGGCGTTGAAGCTGCGACGCAAAAGTGCGCAAGATCGGGTTAGCGACATGAGCGTCTTTTTGGAGAGTGAGCTGTGGCATGATTTGGAAGGGGCGTTCGAGGTGGACTGTGAACTATAAGCCAGCCACAATGTACTATTCTCGTGACCATGATGCGCAATTTGACAAGATGAAGTGAAAGAGTGAGTACTGAGATGGATCGAGCCTTAGAGGATGCCCAAATGGCGCTTAGACTGAAAAGGCAAATCACGTGTTCTCGCGTCGCGCAATGGAACTTTGGAAGGAGCGATAAGGAGATTGGCGACGGTCGACCGCGCCACACCCTTTCACCGTCGTCTAAACCAGCAAACCATGTATGCCTAGGTACCTAAGCCTCGCAATATAGCAGATCCGTTCACCATCTTGTTGGGCGCCGACACCCCAGCCTTCTCCCAAATCACGCCAATCGCGCTAAGACGCGTGCAACGGTCGGCTAGCCGACCTCCCATCTTCCCCACACCCACGTCATGGGCCTTCCAGCGTAAGCCTCCAGACCAATTGGGATTGGAGCTCGTACTGACGCCTGGACAGATTGTGGGACACGATTAAGAAGCACGAAGAAAGCGTACCCGTCGCGCAACTCGCCGAAGAGCATCACCGGCGTCATGGCAGGTCACTCCGCATTGCTGTCGACGAGGCCGATTGGCGCTTCAACAACCTCACGGTGCAGCAAGTCTACACCATACGGGAGAGTCAGTAGTACACGCGTCGTCTCTGCTTTTGCTTTTGCTAATAGGACCAGCCTCCAACGAGTACGCCTACCAAGGCATCGAGAAAGCTATGTTCTACCGTATCTGCCGCCTCCTTACCCTAAACATTCAGCTCATATTCGTCTTCGATGGCCCCGGTCGACCTTGGAAGCGGGGAAAGCGAGGTGGAGCACGGATAAACTACGAGGAGCAGCGCTTGCTCAAGGAGATGCTTCAATACTTTGGGATCCCATACCACGAGGCCCCGGGGGAAGCAGAGGCAGAATGCGCTCGTCTGCAGATTCTGGGCATGGTTGACGCTGTTTGGTCGCAAGATTCTGACTGTCTCATGTTTGGCTGCACCCTCTGGCTACGGGATCACCGTGTCGCGAAAGAAAAGGGCACGACAGACAGATCCAAGGAGAACACCAAGAAGAATGGGAAATACGCCAACGTTGTACGAGCACACGACCTCAAAGAGAAATATGGCCTAGACCGAGAAGGGCTGGTGCTTTTTGCCATGCTTGTCGGTGGGGACTACGACGTGAAAGGTCTACCACAGTGTGGGCCGGCTCTAGCCTTGCAGGCAGTCAAGCAGGGACTCGGTCGGCGGCTTTGTGCCTGTCGAGATCAGATGGAGTGCGGCATCTGGACTGTGGAGCTGGCCATGTTCCTGGAGCGGAGTGCTCGCGGGCGCGCTATCGAAATCCCGCCAGCCTTTCCAGACTTCAAGACCCTACAGAAATACTACAAACCGAAAGTCACCAGCGACGCAGATTTACTTAACAAGTCGCGCCTCAACCTTGACTATCTTCGCCCGATCCAGGAGCTGAAGTTGCTTACACTTACCAGCGAGCGCTTCAACATATGGGGACGTTTATACATGAACTGGGTTGGGCCTGTGCTGCTGACACGAAGCCTGACCGCAAGAGATTCATCTTTACCACAAGAACTGGTCCACGGCATCAGGCTCACAAAGCAAAAAGCGAAGAAGACCGACAACGAACTGGCCATACGCACTTTCGAACGTAAGCTGACTTTTTCACCCTTTGGCGTCACTACCCTGAGCAGAGCCGACTTCGAGGGTGAGCGCTTAGGGTGCTGGAATGGAGACAAGCAGACCTTGTTTGACCCAGAGCATCGTGTCGAATGCGAATATCCTGAGTACTGGCTGCGTAAAGTTCTTCCGCCGGACGTACTGGAACCGCCCCCTGCACCACCAAAGCGTACGCCAAAACGCAAGCGACCAATAGCTGAAGTTGGGGAGGACGGCGAAGCCTCAGGCACAGCTAAGCAAAAATGTACGAACAAAAGAGACAATATCTCCGCTACCCGGGCTACATACAGTGCATCCCCCAGGAAATCCAGACGACCAGCCGCGAAGGCCAAGTCTCAAGAAACGCAAATGACGCCCACAGCACAAAAGATCTTCGATTATATTGCACTCTCGGACTCTGAAGATGAAGGTGGGCTTTCTCTACCAGCCGATGCACGCTCTCAAGCATCTGCAGTGAATCAACCGACGACATCTCATATTATCGATCTTGGTTCGCCTGAGCCGTCAGATCAGGAGAACGATTCACCCGTCTCGGATCCTTTCCGGAATCCCGTAGCAAACACATTGCCATTCGATATCCCAGATGAAGAAGACGAAGAGCTGCAATTAGCTTTGCGGCTAAGCATGCAAGATCAAGGCGCCAAGATCCCCCCAATACAAAGGTCTTCCGCTTTACCTTCTTCAAATCGTGGCAGATATGAAAGCATTTTTGCAATGAGAGAAGCCGGTAGAGATGTACACGGGGCCTCTGTACCTGCTTGGTCGCTTGATGAAGCACTCAGCGCGGCTGTGCCCTCCAGAGTTTCTCAAAATCCCCGACGAGTGGAGAATGAATCGCGCATATCAAGTATGCCAATGAGAGGTGTTCACGCAGGTCTTATAGGAAGGGAACCAGTCGACATACCTGACTGGTCGCGCCCTTCTCCGCGCACTAATCTATTGCCAGTGTCTGCAACTCCACCTTCGAATCCAAATACAGAAGATCAAAGTACACCATCTCCTGCACCTACCGCGGCTGAGATACGCGCTGCTCGGCTTCGACACTTCGCAACGACATCTCCCGACCCTGCCAAGGACGCAAACGAGCCACGTACTTCTTCGCTTGCTGTCATGCCAAACAAACAACCAACAAGTACTTATAAGGTACCAGTGGGGGTTGAGTGTATTGATCTGACGGATGACTGAGCAGCATATTTGTCTCAACTCAGCATTCACCGCTATATACCAAGTACACCCACTGTTAATACCATATCACGAGCTATACACGAATATGTGAAAGCTGTGTCGGTTGAACGCTTACATGCATAGCATCACACATCGCCTGGGCTAAACAGCTCGAAGGTGAATGACTGTGGCGACTGGACTCCGTCTGCGATCATTCAATGCAACCAGGAATTTTACTATTCGTTGGTGGCAACCCAGAGCCATGGAGGATAAATGGGCTACCCAGTAGTCTGAATGTGTTTATACAACTATAGACCTCAACCGAACATGGACTCATCATCTGCCACATACCAAGACGTTGTTGATCGCGTACTCGCCGTCTCTACACCCACGGAAGCACCACGGGATGAGCCGACGTGCTTTGTCTGTGGTCGAGAATATGGAAACATCGGTGCAGGCGTCGAGACACACCTGGACTTCCTCAGCCAACTACCGGGAGCATACAGGAAGACCTTCCTCGAACAAACTGTCGAACCCATCCGGACACCGTGTGGACATGTCTTCTGCCTTTCTTGTCTGAGTGTGTGGTTCAAAAGAAAGCGAAAATGTCTTTGCCCCATGTGTCGCGAGCCGATTGAGATTCCTTTTTTATACGAACTAGAGAACACAGACGACGGTCGACGCGATGTCGGCATCCAGGGCCTCTCCCTAGCCCTCCATATACCAACATCTTTGGCAAAGGAGACATATCGAATCATCAGCCTGCAGACTCGAGAACTGCTCACCACTACCGCGCCGATGCCGTTTCAGTGGAGTGCAGCAGCCATGATCCACGATCTGCCCATTATGATGATCAACGTTGCTCGTCGCTTCCATTACCAGTCGTTGCGACAGGAGGAGGGGGTACCCAGAGATCCCTCGTACATGAAGCGACACAATCCAGTACAGTTCGTAACGGCTGAACCTCGGTTCAACGATCTCAAGACTCTCGGGCGCCCTGACGCACCACTCGCCAAGCACACAGATGCTTTTGAGATGTACCGGCTCGTGTGCGACCGCATCAGGGATCTTGAGGGCACAGTAGGTGACGGCTGCGGTCGATGCGCAAACTGGGAGACTCTAGCGCGGGCATTGATGTACAGAATCGTTCGACAGAAGATGCCTCAGGCCAACGGAGGTGTCGGCCGGATGCGTTGGCGGCACTATGTGTGGTGCGTGATCAAGGCAGTGTTTGTCTGGCAAGCGTACTGCGAGCGTGCACGTAGGTTGATGTGCCTGCGTACAAGGCAGGTAAGCGTTGATACTACAAGGACAGAGGAGGGTGTCCGAACATATCAGGTGGGCTGAGAAGGTCTGGTCGTATAACATATTCTTAAGACAGCATTTTGCATTTTTCGAAACTTTGTCACGTCTAGTCACCCAACGTGCTATCTATGATGTGCGTGATTGTATCATGTCGTATCGATTCTTGTGAATGCAAGTTCGTCCTGTCCATCTACGAAGTGGTCACACCCTGTATGAAGACACCACACAAGTCTTGAATCCCAGGGCGAGTAGTGATTTTTCAGGCTCGTTCCATGTCGATGCTTCTCGTCCATAAAATTGTCGTGGAGCCATCCGTAGTGTTGGGTACGCGCAGAAAAGTACCACTTCATGTGGCCTTCATCGGCGACTGTAGTAGGTCGTGAAGCCGACGTCAGTGTCCCTGTCGGAGCGGCCTCCAAAGTTCGGTGTTGCAGCTCGAGCCAGAGTACCGTTACAATCTGCCTGCTGCCTGTGTCTCGTTTCGCAGAGCTGAGAGCCGTGTCTTGCTGCCATTACAGCACCTGTCCTTAAGTGTGCAGTCTCCCTTCATCGCGGCAAACCATTCCCAGCAGCACCACTGGCACCACTTCCCCGACTCCCAGAACTCTCACCACTCCCATTCCCCGCTCTAACCCCCATCCTCGCACCGGGCTGCCTGGCCAAAGCCAACCTCAACGGCTCCTCTCTTCCCTGCCCAACAATCCCACCACCGCTCGCAACAGCAGTCCCGCTGCCACTCCCGCTTCCGCCAAACATAGGACCTCGTCTCAGTAGTTCATCTAGTCCTAGATCCCGCCACGTCGGCTCCTTCTTCGTCTGTGTCGCCCGCTGGATGCCGAATGCCGCGTGTTGGTCTGGGACGACGTCGTCTTCGTCTTCGGGGTTTACAGGTTGGAGGTGCGGCGGGATGTAGATGTCTTCTGGTGTGAGCTGTGAGGAGGTGAGGTTGGTGAATTGCTCGAGGAGGTCGGCGTGGTGCGACGAGTGCATGTGGAGGTAGGTTGCTGTTGAGTCGCGCGTCTGTGGGGGTTAGTATGGGGCTTATTGCTTGAGTTGGGGAGATTCCCGATTACCATGTTGGGATAGAACTCTGGTGCTAGAGGTTTGTGAAGGCGTGTGTAGTGTCGGTGTCGGTTTGTGGTTGTATCGCCGTGTTGTCCTGGTCATTGTTTGTAGACGCGGAATCGCGCCGCGTTAGGACTGAATGGCGCGCTAGCCTGATTTGGATACCTTTGGGGATTACGCATTACACGCCTTAACCTCATTCCGTCTCAGTGATCTTCTCTACAACGTTGTCTATGAAAGACATCTCCTCAGCTGCTGTACTGTTTGTTTTGAGGACGAGAGGATGAGTAATGCTTACACACTCCACTATACACGAAGCTCCTGTGCGACGGATCAGTAACAGCACTATGAAAATGCCGATCGGTTCATCGAATCGATGGAGGCCATCTACCCGTCTTGTCATGGAATACAGAATGTTTCCTCAACTGACTGCGTCAGGAACGTCACCACGCTTCCATTGAGTACCCAGTACCTACGTAGATAACTAGGTAGGTAGTCAAGGGGCATTCGCCTTTGGGAGCATGCCTCATCGAAGGCGTCATCATCGCCATCTAAGCATAGAATGCAACGACTCAATGAAGCAATAACACGATTCTGGACGGCGATAGTAATACACGATGCGCGTTACTGGTAGCGACTCGCCCTGATTAGTTTGCCGAGGCCTACTCCGCTATGGATAACACGTCATAAGCCAAACAGTTTCTGTCTCTAATCCAGTAACTACCCAGGTAGCACCTCTTTTCTGCAAGATCTTTGCTTCCATCTTCTCGTCAAAGTTTGTCTACTTGCAATCCTCTCAGCATTGCAAATTATAAAACTTCCAGCACACTGTTCACCGAGAAAGCCCCGTTCCGCATTAAATCACGATGGCCGAGGGACGCTGCAACTGCGGAAGCATCAAAGTTTCTATGCCTTCCATGCCTGAGCAGTCCGCTATTTGCTACTGGTACGCATTATCACTAGAGCCTCTACATGCATCTCCATACTGACCGTGGAAGCGCCAACTGCCGCCGCGCAGGAGGAAGCATCGGATCAATCGTATACATCCTCGACAGTCCCCAAGTCACAATCAACGATCCGAACAAGTATCTCAAAGACTACCGCGACAACGACACGAAGAGCGGGAACCCGATTACTCGTCAATTCTGCAGCAACTGCGGCTGGTGAGTTGATGGCCTATGTAGCGTTAGGGAGAGGTCTAGCTAACTAGAGAAAGCCCAATCACGTCTGTACTGGCTGGCGATAAGATTGCGCTGAAGGGTGGACTGTTTGATAAGATTCCCGCTCCAGGGTTCAAGTCTTTTGAGCAGGAGGAACCGAGCTGGATGAAGACTGTCTAGGGAGAGAACGACCTTCGTGAGAGTCTCCAATCAACGTCTGATACTTCGAGACGCCTTATTTGAGAGTAATTCATCATCAGATCTCAACTTTCTACACCCAACGTTCCTGCCTCCCACCTGTCACTCACCTCCGGGTGCCACACAATGACGTAGGGCCTGAAGAAATCCTGACGCGTTTGTCTGCCACGTGCAGCCAGATCTTTCATCCGTGGATCGCTATGCTGCCCTGTAAGGTCAACATTTCACAAACCGCAGACACGATCTCTCTCACCCACCCCCACATCAACCCCATGCACGTTCCAGATGGCCACTTTTGATGAAACCGATCGCCGGTTTACGACGGACTTCAACGCTGCTATTGCGCTGCTCGAACAAGACGAATTCGAGAAGTGTACTGAGGCTTTGCGCAATATGCTCGCCGACTCCGATATCCCTAGGTATCACCGCATCAAATGTTACACAATGCTTGCAGGCATTCTGGATGACTTCCATGAAGCATACGTCTCTTACGTCAAAGGCGAAACCCTTTGGCGTATTACGAAGCAATGGCATGGTAACGATCCAAATCCGGCTCTGAAAGAGGCGCTGGATGACCTTCACGAGGGCTTGGAAGAGATAAGGTGGGTTCTCTCTACACTATTTGGTTACAGAAACTAAATTGTGTGCCTTCAGGGAAGCTTTGGTCAACGACGAGGAACGGCCCGAGGACACACCAGTCCCGGACGTTGAGACAGATGTGCTTCGTACCCTAGAGTACAATTACTATGCCAGACTGGAGGAGGACCATGAGATCGAAGAGGCAGAGAGAGAGACGTGGTCAGAGGACGAGATGAGCGACGAGGACATGGGCGGCGAAGAGGAAGTGAGCGACAAGGAAACGAAGGTCAATGTCGAGCAGAAATTGGGCGACAAAGACGAGAGCGAGGCGCAGAAGGCTACCGAAAAGGAGACAGCAGTACAGGGTCAAAAGCCAAAGGGCGAGATGGTATGTCTGAAAGGTATTGCTGTCGAAGAGGTTGTGTTGACATCGCGCAGGCGTTACCATACCGTCCGCGACACATACGCTGACCCACTTTGGGCGAAAACAAAGACATCGTGTCAGAGAAGTCCTGGAGGCCATATGCTTGATCGAACGATCAGGTTTAAGTCTACGGTGGCACAGAACAGGATAGACCAGACAATCCAGCACCTTTGCCGGCGTCTAGCATATCGATTCCTACACACAGCCTCTTTGAGACCTCTCTATAGAGAGCAAAAGATGAGAGTTTGTCAGGAATAAAGTGGCTAGACTTTGGTCGTGGACGAGGTACTCACTCGCCACGTGCACCTTCTGCTGTGGCAGCACCTAGGTAGCGAGCCAACGGAAAAACTCCCTTCAACGTCCGCAACTTTACGACGCTCCCGTGTGACGAGTGTGACCCCAATTTGCACACTATGTGATTACTATTCGCTGATCTCTCGGTATTTAAATTACTCGCTTGCGGCTTCCCGGGGAGAATAGATTACCCCAAAAGAAAACCAGGACACGCGAAGCGCGCCTCTGTGCGCCACAACCACACTCGAATGCGGTTTCAATATCACCACAATATCAACTTTCTCGCTTGTGACCGGAATACTGAGCTATCAAGAGCCTTGGAAGCTACACGGCACGCTACACGTGTGTAGCCATGGAGCAACAAGCTATGCTTCGCCTTAGCGACTATGCCCGTTGTTGCTACAGAGCCCTAGGCAATGACTTGTAGTCATCTAACAGTACTATGCGATCCTTGACTTACCTGAGACGATCGGTCGATGTGCTCCGTCTCTGATTGGGAAAACCATGAGAGACCACACAGACTATCAAGACCTTGGGATGGCATATAAGAGTAGGTAGAAACAAGCATAACAGATCAGCATTAAAGCAACAACATTCGCTACCATTCCCTCACACACACTCCACGATGTACACATCCGCACTCCTCCTCAGCGCCATCGCTGCCCTTCTCGACACAGCATCCGCCCACGGCTTCGTCAAAGGTGTCAACGTGAAGGGAACCTTCACCAACGGATCCGACCCCGTGTGGTACTACTTCTCGAAGGACAGTCGCCCTCAAACTGCCGGCTGGGATGCATTGAACCAAGACATCGGTTTCGTCGAGCCCGCGTCCGTTGGCACAGCGGACGTCAACTGCCACAAGAGTGCCACTGCGGGACGTCTCTACGCTAACGTCAACCCGGGAGACACCATTGAGTTTGAGTGGAGCACTTGGCCTGATAGTCACAAGGGACCGATTATCAACTACATCGCGCCTTGCAACGGTAAGTCAGCCCCATGAACCAGTACAGCATGCACTTTCACTAATCACTCCGTCCCTGCAGGCGATTGTACCACTCTGACCCCCGGTGCTCTCCGCTGGTCCAAGATCTCTCAATCCGCCATCGTCAGCCCAGGAACGTGGGTTACAGACACGCTTATCAAGAACAAGTTTAAGGTCTCCACTGTGCTTCCCGCCAAACTTGCTCCTGGCAACTATGTTATCCGTCATGAGATCATTGCTCTTCACGGTGGGCAGAACGTGAATGGCGCGCAGCTGTACCCCCAGTGTAAGTCCCTTCATCTCTCTAGCTGCTTCAAATGGAGGTGATCATATGCTAAGTATTGCTGTAGGCTTGAACCTCAAAGTCGGTGGTAGCGGTTCGGTCGCGCCGACGGCTGGCGTTCCCGGTACTAGTTTGTACACGAAGGACATGCCTGGTATTGTGTTCAACATCTACACCAATCCTACGACTTACACGTTCCCCGGTCCGGCACTGTGGACTGCTGCTAACTAGGCGCTGTTGTCAGAGCTCTGTGCTCGAATGGAGAGGATTGGAGGGCTAGGGGCTCTTGGGCCTTGGTTGTGAACTGGCGACTGACGATGTCAACCGCGGGCGGGTGGTGAACGAGTTCACTTCGTGTTTATACTTGGTTGTCCTGATATGTACATAACCCCAACATTCTTTTATCGGATCGAACCTCAAATTGCAGACGATCTTCATGGAGCTCCGTTGTATGTTTTGTGTAGGCCCCACGAGACCCGTGAATGCAGCTGGTTCACCAGATGATGACTGAGCAAAGTGTCCGTTGGCATGAGCGCGTGAAGTTTTGTAGAGGTATATTGCAAGCCTAGCTCGATGCCTAGAATTGAAACAGTAACACTAGGAGGACTGATCAGCCAACCATGGGTGAAAAACGCCAGACTCCTCATTTCCCTTTTGAACAATACACTCGACACATGGCCGATCGCCTTCTTCTCCACTTGTCGCATTGCTCTCACTTCTTGACTGTCTTAGCAGCCTTGCCAACAACCTTGACCAGCTCTCCGTATGCCTCGGTGAACTCCTCGTCGCCCTCGCCGGCCTTCTTGCCCATCCTGTCCTTTCCAATCATGACCACACTGGTGGGTCGCTTTGTTGCGCTGGCCTCGCCGAGCTGCGCGCGGCTCTTGATGTAGATGTAGGGTACGTTGTGGTCTTCGCAGAGAACAGGGATATGCGCAATGACGTCCATGGGCGAGATATCGGCGGCGATGACAACGATGGCGCTGGGGTCATCGAGGGAAGATCCGGCGCCGGAAGCAGCGGACTTGCGCAGCGCTTTTACGACTTCCTTGACACCGCGACGGAGGGTCTTGGACTTGGCGGCTGTAGCAGGATAAATGTCAGTCTTGTTCTTTCAAGTGCGCCAACGGGCTAACACATATGAAGTGGAAAACATACACTTCTTGACGGTCTTGAGGATCTTCTTGACCTCCTTGTCGTTGTCTGCGAGAGGGAAGGCAAAGGGAACGAGTGCGCCGCGCGGCTCATCACCGTCCACGACGTTGACCATTGAGACTTCTGGCTCCTTCTCGAGCTCAGCCTCGAGCGCGTCTACCATCTCGACATCGCCCTTGACCTTCTTCTCCTTCTTGTCCTTTTTGCTCTTGGACACGCCGTCTGTCTCTGCGCGCTTTTCCTTCTTTTCCTTCTTGTCCTTCTTCTCCTTCTTCAGCCTCTTCTCTTCGATATCTTTCGACATTGTGTGGGTAAGCGACTGTAGGTTTTGGGTAGGAATTAGAAATGCGAAGATGTGGTGGCTGGTAATGCGTCGTGCTGAAGTCGGTTTCGCGAAATTTTCGAAGGCTCAAGCTCTACAGCACGCGCTAGCGTAGGTCCGTGCATATGTGAACAACCATGGGTTAGTGGCCAGCTAGGTCAAAAACGTCTCAGCAAGGCATATATTGATTTGCGTTCAAGTTATGATGGCATAAGTAAACGTATTCATACAGTACTATTTGAGACCGATTTACACCTTAACTTCATATCCACTACCGTAATATCTCCCATCTCCGTCACCGCGAAGTCGAATCATGACATACTATGGTATATGTAAGGAAATAGCCCAATGCCACCAAGAAAAGGCATTACCGAAGTACAGGCAAAAAGAAATAGATATTAGCAAGAATGCAACAAAGGCAGCGCTAGTAGCAGAACCGAAGTGAAGCAATAACGCGCCTAGGGCCAGCCTTCAACAGTCCAGAAATGTCGATGGGTATGAGCGAGGGAGAGGTATTAGAAGAATGCCAAATGAGTAGAGCATGAGCTCGAGAGTGTAGGAATCTGGACCTGACCCGCCCTGTGCGCCGTATTACCCCGATCTTGTGAAAAATGAAATGAAATGAAATAAACCATAGACTGATGCTGGGGGGCGCCAAACTCCTTGCCATGCTCCCAAGTGCAAGGAGAGGACGAAATATAGGAAGAAATCCACAGTCTGTAAAAGTAACGCGAGATGGAAACAAGATCGTGGAAGATCGTGACCAGCTCTGGAAGCTGTCCCTCGCTTAGTAGGCCATCTGCATCTCGAGCACTTGGACACCACCAGCAGCCATTGATGGCGTAGCGGATCCAGATCGAGACGACATGGCATCTTCGTAGCCAACAAGTGCTTGCGAATGTAGTTTGAAAGCTTCGCCCATAAGTTTGGTGATGCTAGATATCGTTAGTGCCAGGTTACTGCAAGATTGATAAGTATTTACGTACCCCCAAACCACGACCTCGTCGATCATGCTGCCCCATAGTCGCGCGACAGTGGAGCTCAGCTTTGCACCGTAGACATCCACGGAGTCGTCATCAAACAGATTGCGCAGCTTGTTGTACATCGCTAGTTCTTCCTCGGTAGCTGGCTCTTCGTCGTGCTCCAGGCGGTAGAGCCATAGCGTCAAGATGACCATCAGGTCCATGCCGGTAAGTGGATGTTCGATGCTCCAGTTGGTAGCGGAAGTTCGAGCGACCCAGCGTATGCCTTGCACGGCAGCAACTTCGATGCAATCGAAGCATTCTTGGATGACCTTGATCATCTCTGGCGAACGCTGGACCTTGTCGCGGGCATTCGTCATAGCAGCAGCTACTTCGTAGGAGTCGTGATAGCGGAGAGCTTCTTGGATGGACTTGAGATCGACTACGAGTCGGGCCCTAGTATTCCTGTACAGCGCCATGGCGTTGAAAATGAGAGGATGGCCCTTGTGTGGAGCGCTCAGTTGGACAACGACTGTTTCAGGCTCGCAGAGCTCAAGCGATTTCTCCCATGTTTCGAGGGCCAGGCGAAGCTTGTACTCGGTGACGACGTCTTGGAGAGCTTCAGGGCTACGCTTGTGGTACCATACTTCGAGGAACAATGCGTTGATCATGACGCGTGTGGCGAAAGCACTATAACGAGCAGTCTCGCCTTGGAACAGATTGTCATGCGCTTGGCGGAACGTGATGATTCTGGAAGCACTCAGACTCTCGCGCCAGGCTTCGTCGTCTGAAACCTCCATGGTCCAGAGCGACTCCGAAGAAGGCAGCTCCAAGGTGTCGAACTCATTGAAACCCATTGCAGGGGTGTGGTTGTAGGTGAGCGTCAGTAGGCCGAAGAAGATGTAGACTGCATAGTAAGTCCGTCGGCATTGCTCGTCGACGACCCATTCTTCGTGGTTTGGCTGAGCGCCATCACGGGCATCAGATCGGAGCTTGAGCTCGTATCGGTTTCCAGCGACCATCTACGATGTATTAGTGGCGATCACGAGCGAGAAGGACGTATACGTACATTGGCAAGAAGACTCTTAATCGAACAAGCCCACTCAAGGCCCTTTGGATCACCACTCCAGCTAGAGAAAATCATGTTGAGCAGGGTACTCTGCATCGTCCATAGTGGGCATTTGCGCGAACTGAAGTTTTCCTTATTCTGGAGGAACTGGTTGACGAGGACCTTTGATCCGATGTGCAGCATATAGGCTT